ATAGTATTTGATTTTGCCCACTTATATCGCCATTTGCTTGACAAAATACTCGTCCTACCAGCATCTCGTAGAGGCAAACACGTTAGAATGACATCAATTACATCGTCAGGAAGATTGCTGATTATATCACAAGTTCTTCTGCATGGCGCTTCCGTCATATTTGGAACCGATAGAAAAATCTAGATCAATTTATACTATCAAATTTTACTCAAAAAATCTCAACTCAAAATATGATGAAAGAGCCATGCAGAAGAACTTGTGATATAATCAGCAATCTTCCTGACGATGTAATTGATGTCATTCTAATGTGTTTGCCTCTACGAGATGCTGGTAGGATAAGTATTTTGTCAAGGAAATGGCAATATAAGTGGGCAAAATCAAACACTAAGGGAAGATATATCAACCCGTAAAGTTAGAGCTAAGCTTGGTGTGATTCTCCTTCATCTGTTTTCACTTCGTCAAGGACCAATTAATGAGCATAGAATTTCTAATATTCTGAATCCAAAATATTTCTCTTAGATTAACAACTTGATATTATTCTGCCATGGAATGGGCTCGAGCAACTCGTGCTTGAACTTTCAAAGGGCGAAAAGTTCATATTGCCTTCTTCAGTTTTCACATGTTCGAAAATGAGGCATTTAACTCTTCACTATTGTGTTGTCAATCTTCCACCTACCTTTCAAGCATTTAGTAAGCTTCTTCGCTTGCAATTGTTTAATGTTGCTATTTCTGACAAATGTCTAGAGAATTTAATCTATCATTGCCAAATGCTCGAGGACATGGACCTGGATATCACGACCCTTTGAACTTCCCAAACCAAGCGTGTAAAAACTGTTCCAGACCATAGAGTGACTTACGTAATCGACATACAAGGCTACTAAACTCCCCCTGAACAACAAAATTAAGTGGTTGCTTCATATAATTAATACGAGGACCGATGAAGAGCTTGGTGAGATATTTGCAAGTTGATCACTTGACTTCACGAAATTGACAGTCATTCTCAATGTGCTTAGTCTTCTCATGAAATACTAGATTTGATGCATAATGTCAAACAATATCAATGTGCTTCTCATGAAATACTCAATTTGATGCATAATGCCAATAATAAAATTACAGTGTTGAACTTCCCAAACCAAGCGTGCAGTGACTTACGTAATCGACATATAAGGATACTAAACCACCTAATTTTATAGCTCGGGAGTGTTTTGGTAGTCTTGTATGTCAATTACGTAAGTCACGCTATGGTCTAAAACAATCTTTGCACACTTGGTTTGGGAAGTTCAAAGGGTCTGCGATATCCAGGTCCTCAAGCATTGGGCAACGAGAGATCAAATTCTCAAGAGATTTGTTAGAAATAGCAACATTAAGCAATTACAAGCATACTAAATGCTTGAAAGGTAGGTGGAGGATTGACAACACAATAGTGAAGAGTTAAATGTCTCATCTTCGAAAATGTGAAAACTGAAGAAGAAAATTTGTACTTTTCACCCTTTGGAAGTTCAAACACGAGTTGCTTGAGCCCATTCCATGATAGGAAACATATCAAGTTGTCAATCTAAGAGAAATGTTTTGGATCCGGAATATTGGAAATTCTACACTCATTAATTGGTCCTTGAAGAAGTGAAAACAGATGAAAGAGAATCACACCAAGCTTAGCTCTAACTTTACGGGTTGATATATCTTCCCATAGTGTGTCTGATCAAGCATTAGTTTTGGAACTTTTGACCACTTATACCGCCATTTCCTTGATAAAATACTCGTCCTAATAGCATCTCATAGAGGCAAACACATTAGAATGACATCAATGACATAGCCAAGAAGGTTGCTAATTATATCACAAGTTCTTCTGCATGGCGCTTCCGTCATATTTGGAACCGATAGAAGAATCTAGATCAATTTATACTATCAAATTTTTCTTTAAAAATCTCAACTCACAATATGATGAAAGCGCCATGCAGAAGAACTTGTGATATAATTAGCAATCTTCCTGAAGATGTAATTGATGTCATTCTAATGTGTTTGCCTTTACGAGATGCTGGTAGGACGAGTATTTTGTCAAGGAAATGGCGGTATGAGTGGGCAAAAGTTCCAAAACTAACGCTTGATCAGATACTATGGGAAGATATATCAACCCGTAAAGTTAGAGCTAAGCTTGGTGTGATGCTCCTTCATCTGTTTTCACTTCGTCAAGGACCAATTAATGAGCGTAGAATTTCCAATATTCTGAATCCAAAATATTTCTCTTAGATTGACAACTTGATATTTTTCCTGTCACGGAATGGGATCGAGCAACTCGTGCTTGAATTTCCAAAGGGCAAAAATTTCATATTGCCTTCTTCAGTTTTCACATGTTCGAAGATGAGGCATTTAACTCTTCACTATTGTCTTGTCAATCCTCCACCTACCTTTCAAGCATTTAGTAAGCGTCTTCGCTTGTAATTGCTTAACGTTACTATTTCTGACAAATCTCTCGTTGCCCAATGCCCGAGGACATGGAACTGGATATCGCAGACCCTTTGAACTTCCCAAACCAAGCGTGCAAAGACTGTTTCAGACCAAGGGTGACTTACGTAATCGACATACAAGGCTACTAAACTCCCCCCATGAGCAACAAAATTAGGTGCATAAGTTCCCCAACCTAACACAATTGTCATTTTACTAATTCTAAGAACAATATTTAGCTCCAAAGTGACTTCTAATTTTTATTTTATTTTGTCTAAGGATCTTAACAGGACTCATTTACAACTTTTCGAAGAGTCACACAAATTTCCAAAGTGTGTCCGACCGAAGAAAGTTGATGGAATTTTGAAGTGCAATGGCACGTATCCAGTCGTATGAACAGTAGCCTTTATCAGACACAATGTATAACATTTCTAGGCTTTATGCCAAGATTTTGCGAGCACTCCAAAACAAAATTATTGAAAAGGTAGTTAAAATAAAAAAAATTAGTTGGAAACGAAGAACTATGAATTAGAATCTGAGTACAGAGTTTATGTTGGAAATACCTGCATATATCACAAATCATTTTCAATCTCCTTTGCCAGCTGAGGTTATTCTTCTGTCCACTTACATGAATCAAATGATATAGGGATCCCATCTCCATGAATTCAGTAACCACGGACAAACGAGGTGGAGTTGTGCAAGCACCGAGGAACAAGATAACTGAAAGGAAAAATGTGTTTGGCAAACAACTACAGAACTGTTTCCTCCACCAAAAGTGTATTATTTGAATTTGGTAACATAAAACTGAAATGTATTTCATATTTCCCATAGAATCTCAAGGATCAAGTGCCTTCTACAACTTTTAATTGCATATTCAATGAAGTGGGTACAAGCAGTATGCCATCACAAACATGGATTCAGGGAAGAGCAGAAAAATTACCATTTGGGTGGCGAATGCGGCTGCATAAAGGGAAAAGAGATACAAGGTTAAGCTAGCTAAATAAGTATATCTGATTTGGTTCACTTTATAGGATGTTCCTGAGGTAAAAAAGACGAAATGATTTGTTTAGTACCAACTTACCTCAGGATGGATATTTCATTGGCAAAATCTTCAATGTTCTCTTCAGTCAATTCTTGTTCTAGGAAAACTTTAACTGCAACCTCTGTTCCATTCCAAATACCACGAAAGACTTCTCCAAAAAAACCTTGAAATCATAACAATCAGTCAGCAAGATTTATTTGATATGAGCTCAACAGAAAATTAACAAACATAATCCGTCACATAGTTCAAAGTAAAATTACCAAAGGGATATCTGTGAGTGTCCAATTGGGAATCAACCTCAGTTTGGAAATAGGCATGATTAGTCAGATGATACCCATGTCTGTTTGTGACCCTAAATGACCAATGGTATGCCTTGATGAATTTTTCAAGTTTTGAGATCTTTTACTTAACCATCTTTCTATGAGTACACAACGAACAAAATAATCTAGGTGGATTACGGATTAGGTGTCCATCAATTGCTGAGTTACCTCTAGCTATCAACATTGGGACTGCATGATGATGGGTTAGTTATATAATTGGAGAATTATTGAATGATTAACAATTATACGAACACCAGTTACATGATCTCCAGGACTGATTAAAAACTGATGACGTTTCCATCTCCACTGTTGTAGAACAGAACTAATGAAAGATAGAAAAACTAGAAACTCATACTTAGTTAATGGACTTATATGTCCGCTTCTACCAAATAATATTCATAAATAAAGAATTGAGAATGCATGATGAGTTTACCTCTTCAACAACAACAACATCATACCCAGTAAAATCCCACAAAGTGGAGTCTGAGAAGGGTGTACGCAGTCCTTACCACTATCTCTATGAGATAGAGAAACTATTTCTTAAAGACCATCGGCTCAAGAAAATCACAGCAGCAATAAAACGAAAAAAGATAGTGGGGAGAAACATGAAAACTAATAGCAAAGCAGTACGGTGCATATATGCAAGGAACCATAACAATCAAGTGTGATCACTTAGACACAGTAAACCACAAATGATATCAAATACCAAAAGCTAAAGACTACATTAATACTACAACCGACACGGTGCACTATACTACCACCAAACCAAAAACATGAAAAGGCTAGTAATAGGACAACTCTTACCTACTACCTTCTACCCTTATCCGCGACCTACCTACCCCCTATCTAAGGTCATGTTCTTAATAAGATGAAGATGTGTCATATCATGTCTAATCACCTCCTCCCACTAATTCTTCGGCCTACCTCTGCCTCTCCTCGACCCCACTATATCCAACCTCTCACACCTCCTCACCGGGGCATCTGCACGTCTCCTTTTCACTCCCTAACCTCAACTTGTCCACCACGGAGGCCACTCTCACTTTGTCCCGGATATCCTCATTTTTAATCCTATCGCTCCTAGTACACATCCATTTCAACATCCTCATTTCCGCCACTTGCATCTTTCATTCTTTTGAATTTGAGAGTTTTTGACTGGCCAACACTCCGCCCCATACAACAAAGTGAATCTAATCACCACTCTATAGAACTTACCTTGAAGTTTTGGTGGTACTCTCTTGTTGCACAAGACACTGGATGCAAGCCTACACTACAAGCCTTCACTTCATCCATGCCGCACCTATACGATGTGTAACATCATCATCGATCACCCCATTTCCTTGGATCAGGGACCCCAAATACTTAATCTCTCTCTTGGCGACAATTTGTGAATCAAGTATCAATTTCATGCCTGCCTCATGCGTCACACCATTTGAATATATACCCCAGATGAGTTTACCTCTTGACAGAACTAAAAGTTCTGAATAAGTATGAGAAAGAAGAAAAGCAGCAAAGCAAAGAAACTATGAAGTTATCTAATGAATTTCTATGTACGGAACTTTGTGACCAATCTTGTTCTTTGAACCAGTCAACTGTCAAGGACTTGGAGGATATGAAAATCATCTTGACATGGACTTTTGTCACTTGCAAACTCAGAGCCAATACATGCTCAACAGATCCAATTGGAAAGACACTATGTTGCTTATTCAATTAGCTCTACGAGAATTTTATACCCACAAAAGTTGTGATTTTTGTAAAAGTTTTAAGTAATTTCTTTTTTTATCAAATAAGAAGGATATCATTAAGAAAAAGCATCAAGAAAATGCAATCATTACAAAGAGATTATCAGTTCCCAGGAAGGCAAAAAAAAACCTATCACAACTATCAACATAGATCTATGGAGCTCTAAATTCTAGGAATGAAGCTTTAAGTAATCTTACCGAGAAGGAAATACAAGGCACCCAGTCAATCATTGATTTCTGTCTCTGCCCTCTGCCAAATTATACTGTATGTATCTCTCTCTCTCTCTCTTTCTTTATTCAATTCTAAGAATCTGTGAAGGAATGTATCCCAGTACAGATAAAACATGGCCGCTAGTCATTATCCATAATTTTGCGCTAATATCCCTTACTAACTCCGCCTATGGGGTTCAGTTGGAAAGAAAAAGAACTATCATTGGAGTTCTTGGATGAATTATGTCATCCTAAAGATGAAAGAGGGATTGGAGTTAAGAGAATGGAAAATATCAACAACACATGCATTATTATGAACAGAAGGTGGAGATTCAGGACTCAACCATCACTGTGGGAAGCTTTTCTCAGAGCTAAATACTGTACCAGAGACCAGTAAAAATGGTCTTCAGGAAACTCTCGGGCATGGAAAGGTTTGATGCAGATTAAACTCAAGACTGAGAAGCACATATTTTGGAGAATTAATTCAGGGGAATGGAGTTCTTGGTGGGACAATTGGACACTTAAAAGGAACATTAACTATCCAATGGCCAGGTTCCCGAAGATCTGCTAAACTAGTCAAAGATTTCATGGAGCATGGTAGCTGGAATGTGAATAAGCTGGAAGGAATGGTAACGGAGCACCTGGTCAGATATGACAGAGGTCCATTCCTTTGTAAAATCTCATTGACATGGAGACAGATTAAAAGAAAATTACGTTTTGATGATATTATTACTAAGTGTGGAAATCAGATTGTGTTTAAATGCTCGTGTTACAATGAACCACAATGTGAAGCTTTACACCATGTACTCGTTGAAAGTGATGCTGCAGTTCCCTTGAGGATTTTTTATTTTTATTTTTTGCAAATGCCAGGGGCATACAAGCAGCATATTAGGCCTATCAGAAATGTCTTGAGTAGTTGGCGGCAGCTTAAGACTCAGAATGTAGTCGACAAATACATATTACAGGTTGTGCCAACTGCTATTTGTAGGGAGATATGGAGAAGTAGATGTGCTTGTAAGTATGGGGACAAAAGCTGCATTAGGAAAAGATTTTAAAGCTGCAGTATCTTCTTCTCCTAGCATGCAGTATCATATTATGTGGAACATTAAAGCTGCACTAGGAAAAGATTTCAGACATGAATTGGCCAACAATCTGTGAGATGGTTGAGAGTCTGAAACCAGTTACTATATGGAAGTCAACATAAATGGCATGGTCATTAGAGAAGGGATGAACGTGGTGATTTAATCATGGCCTTCTCCTCTGCAGTTGTGTGTAATTGGAACATGGCAGGAGCTAAAGCTGCCAGATTTGGAATTGGAAGGTGTTACACAGGGATTTACCAGATTCATATTGGAGCTTGACCGATTATTGATGATATTTTGAACAAGGCTACTAACAAGCAGAAGTTGAGGAGGAGGATTGAAGATATCATTGCAAATCCTAAACCAAGATGAAGTATATGTTAACCATTGTTACAGAGAGGTGAACCAGGTGGCAGACTGCCTGGCCAACTTTGCTACATCCATCAATGAAGGCATAATATTCCATTCCGTCCAGTGGCTGCCAACACATGATAAGGGCCCTTTCCAACTAGAAACTGGCAACTCTCTAGCATAAGAATTAGATATGACAAAGTGATTTTTTTTTGTTGGCTAGAATGTATAGCTGATCATGGAAGAAAGAAGACGTAGTAACTTTCTTCTACTTTTTTGTAATAGAGTTGTACCTCTGAGGTTACACCT